TTGCGACTCTCGGCGGCGCCGCATGGTGGGATTTCCCCATTATGAGGTATCGGTGTCAAAGGGCCTAGCCCTAGCCAGCCAGGTACTACTACTAGTAGCAGTACTAGCAAGAGTACATAACCCCAAGAGGGTTATGTACTCTTGCTAGTAGGTGACCTAGGCCATGCATTTTTAGGCACCAAGATTATAACTAGTTAACCTCGAAGGTTATATACTCTTGCTACCATGCAGAGCAGACGCGTCCATAGTTCGCAACATCCGCAGGCAGTCCGTGCGCCAAGGCCCTTCACGGCTTCAGTTCAGAGACCGATTTTCATTTTCCCGCAGGAATCGTAGCCTCCAAGGCGCCGCATGGGCTTGTTTTCTGTTGATTTTCTTTATCTCCAAATGGCGAATACTTCAAAGAATTTTGCAGCTTATAGCCCTTCTAGTGTCGTCAGGAGACCTTTCCTCCACTGAAGAGATGGTTCGGAGTAATGTTGACATCTATGCCCGTAACCTGGAAAATTATTTTGGAGCTTGCAGTTCGTGAGCAGCCATCTGGGACGAATGTTTCATTTTTTGTAATTGCTGAAGCGAGGATTATGGTCACCAATTTCACACCAGGTAAGGCGCTTACTCAACGCGGACATTAAAACCGCTTTGTGGGGTGATGGACCAAAGCCTTATCTTTCGGATGCATGAGGAATTAGAGTGATACCTATGTGCCCCACAAATACACCCGAAAAAACCACGTAAAGGCAGTATTGTCATTTTATGAGAAGAGACAATTGAGCATGCTCTAATTCGTCATGACTGGTTTTGGTACTTTTCAAACACCACTCTGAGTGAGCATCTACCAATCCTTTATCAATGTTACAGGGGCATTTGAGTTTAGGGGACAGAGGTAGAATATTTCACCAGCTGAAGTACTAGTTTTTTTTCTGGATTTGTGGAGTACTAGGTCGCATCGTGTAGATATGTCAGTATACGTGTATGATTTTGGTGAAATTCTGAGCATCAAATTATTATGGGCATCAAAGCACTGGTGCTTGCCCATTAAATAAATAGGTCTCCGGCTCTCTGACTTTTTTCTTGCATTGCACGACTTTCAAATGCGTCGAATGAAATGAAGGAGCAAATTTGTTGCTGACTGCATCAGTTCTGTTTTCCTCTGCTGTTCTTCTTTCAGTGTGGTGAATTCTGATCCATGAGGCAATGGCATGAAGTCAGTAGTTTGCAGTATGTGCAGTATGCGGCTATCTCTCTGTCAATGTACCTGTGACAGCTGAAGCCCAGATCACGGTTGCAGTTTGCTGGCTATGATCAGCAGCAGTCTAAAGTTGCACCTTTCCTTCCACGCACAGCAATGCTGAATATGTCATGGACAGACCTCAATAAACTGCCTATTTGAAGAAGCAGCACAATTCTTGTCTGCCAATAAACAGCATGCTGGCCAGCTATAATAATTATAACAGTTTGGAGGTCGGAAACGCTGAAGACGCGATCCCGTTAATATTTTGCGCCAACTGCAATGAAGAAGGCCTCTTTGATTTATTACCATTTCGTGTGGATATCTATGGTGTTGTGGTCCAAGTCGTGCGGACCATAAAAGGTATTATACATGAAATAGTGAAGGTAGTGCGATTGACACTGACGACAGCAAACCAACAGTGGATATCAACCACACTCCCAGCGTCATTCTGCACACCAGGAGAATCCAATACAGTCAACTTGGCTAATAACAACTGCGGACATAACGACAATTCGCGAATAACGACAAAATTTCCATGCCCAGAGCAAAGTCCCACCGCACTGTAAAACATATAATGAGACTTCGGGTATAACTGTAGCGGGCCTGGAGGCAAAACAACCTAACAACTCGAAACTAAATAACGTGTTACTTTATTAACAATTCTCTCTCTCTAGAATGGCAAAACTGTCTTTAGCAGTAAAACTCTGAACTCACTCTTAAAGATAAAATAAACACAATTTATGGAAAATAATCACCACCAGCAACGTACTGTCATGTGACCGTTGTATGGTAGAACGAACGTCATAATGAACAGTACGCTGAGCGTATACGCAAATGCTGAGCTTGAGACCAACGCGTGACCAACACTACATAACACCACTTCGCGAATAAGGACACCTTTTTGATGCCCCGCCGAGTGTCGTTATAAGCGAAGTTGACTGTACATATAGCTGCCAACTCTGATGGTATAGACCCGATAACTTCCATCTTTCTTGTTTTGTTACTCTACGATTGGTATACTAGTGTAATCTCTGTACATATGCGGAATGCACTGTATTTGTTTCTGGTGACTGGAGGTAGTTTATCATAGCACTGTTTTTTGTTTTGTTTTTGTTGAAGATGAGCATTATCATGTTAACGTTGCCGGTGTCGCGGGTCATTCCACAGTCCCCAAAGGTGACGTGCTCGGCAACGGACCGACCCATTAGGCAACTGATTAATGATAAATTTGCTGCCATTCATGATTTGTATCACGTCCGCCACAATGGCATATGGTGCAAAAATCTGTCTAAGGGCAAGAACAATGTGCGGTTGGTTGCCTTCCTCGCTGCTGAATTAGCAAGCGATAAGTTTGCAAGTCGCTTGACGCCTGGAAAGAGTCTCTTTGTGACCATCAAGATCGCGTAAGGCCAAGACGCCACTGCAATGCAGCGGAGCCCTTGTCTAGACCTCACGTCTTTCTTCAGCTCTTTCAGTCTCTGTTCATGTGTGCTTCATATGCTTACTCTTTGGTTTTGGATATCTTGACGGACATTGTACATCATATCAGTCATGTTCATTATGTAGGATTTGACTCCAATCCTTTCTTGTTGTCCTAATTATCAACCTAGGCGGTATGCCATGCATTTTGTGTAATACAAATCAATGCTTATGTAGCATAGTACACGTACATGTACATGTATACAGAAGAATAATTTCTTCCCTCTTTCCTATTTGCACTGCACCTTTCTGTATGTTTGAAAGGCATTTTGTCCGAACCCGGTGGTATAGATAATTAAAAAAAACATCCTAAATTGTCTCCAATGTAACAGTTAATATGCTGTGACTATGCCGTTGCTATGGTTACAGATGTGAAACAATTTCTTCCGTATTTTATGCCCTTGCATCCTGAATCTAAAGGAAATAATGTGATTTATAGGGAGCAGTAGGTGTCATGGTCAGGTTTTAGGTGTCCATTTGTTGTGTGCTGGAAGTGGGAACGGGCGTGAATATTTATGGGGCCTGGCTGCTGGACTGCCGTATTTCCCCGTAAGTAAGTTCTCCCCAATGACTTATTACCCCCTATAAAAAATACACTTTCCACTGCCGAGGTTATCATCCCGAAAGACAGTTCCCCCCGAAAGATAGTAAGTTCGTACCCGTCCTACATGTACAGACACCGTACAGTACATACATCATATCAAGAGTACATGTGTACTCTTGATCATATGCATGGACACTAGAGTTGCGCAGGCTTCCCACTGCGTGTCATTTACCCCCGATAAAAAAGTACTCCCCGAAAGATAGTACCACCCCCGAAAGTTAGTACTCATGTGGTTGCTAAGTTCGAAAGTTAGTACGTACTAACTTACGGGGAAATACGGTATTAGACTCTCTGTCAGTCAACTATGGTAGAAATACAAGTTATCATGTCCAGGGTTTCTCCCTCACTCTCCTGCAATGCTACACTCCTACATACTGCGGATGCATTTGCTGTGTTTTCATGTCAGTCACGAGGTCGGAGAAAGCCAGGTTTGCCAACGCGCTGTATAGCGTTGCATGCATGGCTTGCCACAGTTGCATACAAACGTTGTGGCGTCATGGCTCTTGCATTACATTTCTAGAATTACAGTGGAACTCACTTAGACCATACCCGGGTCAGACGTGCAAGCTCATATACAAATGTGTTTGGGAAATGACGTACCATGATAGGATTTACAACTAGTATTGTGAAGGACTTTTCAGCAGGTGCAGACAGAGTGTACTAAGTACTTTTTTGGTGTTTTTCAAACACCGTTCCACTTGACAGGTTTGCACGACAGGTATTCTAGCATGTTGACAGTGTTGAGGAGGCTGTTTGCAGTGAAGGAAGCTTGGTTTCGTGTCACTAACCACGTACATGTTGCAAGGTCTAGGAAGAGTCAACTTTGGATAAGAAGTGCTTCAGATACTAGAGACGTTTTGCATAACCGTTTGCGCCTATTTTTGTTTGACGTCACTAAAAGCGAACAATCGCCGTTTTGAAAGGGAAAGTCGAAGGAAACGTGAAACAAACTTTTGCAGTAGTTTTCGCTGTTCACGGACCAGTGCAGTGCAATGGCGAACCACCCTCATGCAATCTTTTGTGCTTCATCTTTCACAATCCAGAAGATCTACTCTTGGCTTAGTCGCTAGTGCTAGTTTGACAATATGGCAAACCATGTTGTTTCATCTCCGTAACCACCTCCGATCTCCTGTCTTCTCATTTTCTCAGAGTCGGTGATGCTTTTCTGGATTTGTAGATGTTGATGCGCCGGATTGCGCCACAGGCCAACATGGTTGTCTGTGGGTCTCCGGCTATCGACAACATAGTCAAAAGGCTCTTGTCTCAGAGTGCAGCCACTCGCGGCAAATTATTTTCTCAGTCGAATGAAGCTCTGTAGATCTACCGAAGACGACTTCTCAAACAAGCACGAGTGCACTCGTACTTTTCTTGGAGCGAAAATCATGGAAAACACAAACTTCACGCGAACATTCGCACACATATTCGCAAGCCCAGACGTGAAAATCCATGCGAACGTTTGTTCTGCAAAACCTCTCTACTAAGTTCGCTTTTCCACTCCCGAGGCAGTACCTCTTATCCGAGTTCCACTGCATCTCACAGAGAGCCATTCGAATGAATATGCCCGTGTTGCTCAAAACGAGAGCCATTACAAGCAGTGGACCATGCAATGACCCTTGAAATGACCCTTGAAATCAAGTCCCACACGTTTGTTCCTCCATAACCTAAAGCAATCACTTCACTTACCAGCACCATCAGAGAGAGCTGGATCTCTCTGATCAGCTGGTTGTGACTGGCGGTCGGAGCTCTCATCAATGCTGGACCCTAGAGCTGGATCACTCTGGTCAGCTGGTTGTGACTGGCGGTCAGAGCTCTCATCAATGCTGGACCCTAGAGCTGGATCACTCTGGTCAGTTGGTTGTGACTGGAGGCCGGAGCTCTCATCCTTGCTGGACCATAGCCCCATTTGTGACAATACCCTTCACCAGTGTTGTCACTACACGGATACCTGAAACACAGCAACACACAAACACAGCAACACACAAACACAGCAACACACAAACACAGCAACACACAAACACAGCAACACACAAACACAGCAACACACAAACACAGCAACACACAAACACAGCAACACACAAACACAGCAACACACAAACACAGCAACACTGTCATATACTACCATGTACAGACAAATCCACACATTGTCGACTACCAGCACCTGCAGACACTTTTACACATTAAACGGTGATTTCTGCTGATCGGATCTTACAAACACTTTTACACGCTATTCTGTCTGATTATTAGAAATCCTACGGACAGTGGGAAAATCCCTGCTTTCATCACTACATGTTTCATGTTCATGTTGCAATGGGCCAGCAAAATTTATGTTCTCAGTTTATAAATGAGAGAGCAGGTATGGATACAGTACTGGCACTAATGACAGTCCAGAGACCTCGCTATGTTTTGTTTTAACTAGGGCTGTAACTAGATACTATATACGCTGTCAGAAAGTGCAACCACTAGGCAGAACACTGACAGAGTACTGAGACATTCGACCTGACACCTAGCTTCAACACATCTCCGTAGCGGTAACCAACAGCCTTCCAACTCGGAAGGTCCAAGGTTAATTTAAGAAAAGACCAAAGAGGGGAAGGCAACCGCAGCGAAAACGAGCACAAGCCACAGTCCCACGGCAACAAAGAATGTCGACTGTTACTGGTTTGTTAAACCCTTTCTGACTGTATAACAGTATCTAGTTACTGTATAACAGTATCTAGTTACTGTATAACAGTATCTAGTTACTGTATAACAGTATCTAGTTACTGTATAACAGTATCTCGTTACTGTATAACAGTATCTAGTTACTGTATAACAATATCTAGTTACTGTATAACAGTATCTAGTTACTGTATAACAGTATCTAGTTACTGTATAACAGTATCTAGTTACTGTATAACAGTATCTAGTTACTGTATAACAGTATCTAGTTACTGTATAACAGTATCTAGTTACTGTATAACAGTATCTAGTTACTGTATAACAGTATCTAGTTACTGTATAACAGTATCTAGTTACTGTATAACAGTATCTAGTTACTGTAAAACAGTATCTAGTTACTGTATAACAGTATCTAGTTACTGTATAACAGTATCTAGTTACTGTATAACAGTATCTAGTTACTGTATAACAGTATCTAGTTACTGTATAACAGTATCTAGTTACTGTATAACAGTATCTAGTTATTGTATAACAGTATCTAGTTATTGTATAACAGTATCTAGTTACTGTATAACAGTATCTAGTTATTGTATAACAGTATCTAGTTACTGTAAAACAGTATCTAGTTACTGTATAACAGTATCTAGTTACTGTATAATAGTATCTAGTTACTGTAAAACAGCAAAGTCTAACGAGTCACCAAGTCTAACGCTTTAACGGCCAATTCTTTTTCGTTATTTGAAAAATACGTTGTCGCTAGATGTCTGTGTAAAGATGCGCATACAGATGGGTGGCCATTGTTAAACTTTCTGCACGTTATCATGCCAAAATTACAAAAAACGTTTTGTTTGTTTTTTTAACTTTTTATTCGTTAGACTTTCCAGTTTTACAGTGCCTAGTTACTATGGTATCTAGTTACTATAGTATCTTGTCACCATAGTATCTAGTATCTATAGTATCTAGTTACAATAGATACTATGGTATCTAGTCACCATAGTATAAAGTTTCTATAGTAACTAGTTACTATAGTATCCAGTTACTATAGTAACTACCTAGTGGTGTACAGTTACTCTAAACTCGTATCAATGTGTACTTTTCATTTCTATACTTATTATCGGCTCAACATCCGGGTTTCAAAAATATATAATAATTATGCGATAATCACAATATTAATGAAAAGACGTTTCTTTCAGTTTTATAGAAGTGTAAGAAATTGAAGTGACACTCATCATGACCTACTTGAAAGCAAAGCATAGCAAGGGGACTGGTATTTCCAGCCCACTAACTTGTAAACCCATCATTAATTTTCTGGATTCCCCAGATTCTAAATCGAGTAGTGGTGTACGGTGGTTAATATTTTTTTATTTTTTCCATTCATAACACTGGGTTTGATCCTGAACACACACTGACAGGTCAGCTACATACATAACACGGGGTTTGATCCTGAACACACACTGACAGGTCAGCTACATACATAACACGGGGTTTGATCCTGAACACACACTTACAGGTCAGGTACATTCTACGGAGTAGTTGTATTATACTATGGTGCTAGCTTATCGTTTTTTTCTTCTTCCTTTTTTCCAATTGTTGGCACACATAACGTGGTACTGAAACACGAACTATCTCCCTGCATGCATTCCTTCCATACACTTTGCACGCATACATATCCTACCACGTTGGTTCACGTTATGAACCTTGCGTTGAAAGCCCTATTTGAATATTTGACCAGCTTTCTTTACTGGTATGGTAATGTAGCAGGCCAGGTATGATACGCCAGGTAATGAGGGCCCTACGATGTACACACACACACACACACACACACACACACACACACACTCACACACAGATACACACACACACACACACACAGATACACAACGAGAGGGCTTGAATGAACAAGAGCAACTCAATATGCTTCGTTTTAACTTTCTCCGCATCATTACAATTGTCGCTTTCTAGAGCGATTTTTCAAATTTATTTTCTCCACTCGAAGTGAAGAAGTCAGCTAGAAGTTTGTGGCCTCCCGCTTTGCTGCACTTGCGGCTGGGGTCGACGTCTTCACCAGAATTTAAGGCAGACCCTCCAGTACTCAACAAAACGGTGAACAAGAAGCGAGTTCAAATTAGTCATGAAACTTCGTTTTCAAGCAATCGATGCCTCCAGGTGGCGGGCAATGACGGCAAACTAGCTTTTTTGAAGTACACCGTAACGACCACCAGCGACATGGGGTAAGCAGTTCCGCACCTTCTTTCCTTGACAAGCGCTTCGCTGGTTTTGTTGGTGTTTTCAGGCCTGCTACCTTCGCAGCAACATGCGCCACATGTAACGCATTTCAGGAATTTGAGAACACTTTGTTCTTGCCATGGTCAAATTCAGCATGCCAAATTCAAGAGATATACCAGGATTCGTATCCCTGAGCCTTTTTTTTTTAATTCACGGTTCGCGTGGGGGACTGGTACGAACTCCAGAAATATGATACTCACTCTGGGCGAAATAGTGCGAAACGAGAAGAATTTGTTTGGTGCGGAAGAGAGCTCCAAAATCACAACGGCTTTCGTAACAATTGCGAGGGAAGGGTCATACCAATGTTCGAACACAGAAAACAGTGATTCCGCCAGCCTGACTAAGACAATCAAGTCACAAACATTGCGATGTGCGAAGCGACAATTGTAGTGACAAAACCTGCTCCTGATAATAAGATTTTTTAAGGGGGACGTGTCCCCCAGACCCCCTCTTTCTTTTCGCCTCCCTTCGGTCGTACAACTTCTTTAGAACCTGCATGGTGGCGCCCTGCAAAGTGATCTGTCAGGGATTAGGACTGTCCTGGAAAGAGAACAAAATGCAAACCCCAACAGGACTGGAACCTGCGACCTTGCTTGTCATGAGCATAGCTCTAACCATCAAAGCTATGGCACTGAGCAGAACCTAGAAAGAGCTGACAACTTTTTCACTAAAATTTCAGCTCAAAAAAACTTTCCAAATAATTTTGTTTTTTTGGTGAAAGGTCACCGTTTCCGATTGGAAAAAGTCCCTTCTTTGGAATTTGACGAAATTATTCATCGACTAATTTTCTCTGCTTGTAAAGCACACGGATTGAGAGTGAGTGGATATTGCAGAAGCCAAAAATTCCTTCGCGTTTGAATTGCCGTTGCTGCGCTTCACTACGAACAATACAATACCATGCGGACAAATGTGAGCACACGACACGGAGTACTGTACATCAGCAGAAGCCTTTTCCAATAAATCGTTACGGGTTAGGGCTGCTGTGCTACTAGAACTCAGCGCACACCTTCAGTGAAACTTGGGGACTGAATGGGAGATGCTCACCTGACTTCAAGCCAGGGAGAAGCACCTGCTCCCGATAACGGCCGGGTGGTTCCTGTCCGGCGTCCGCTATCTGGTAACGTTGACCCGGACGATTGGTAGTCCCACAAATCTAAAAGCCACCTGCCGATGGGCAGGTAACGAACGAAAGCGCTTCACTTCCGCGACCAGATTGCGACGGAGCGTCACTCAAATTCCCAGAAAAGAACAATATGAAGGGCCGCAAGCAGAACACGCATCCGCCCAGAACACCCACAGACGGCAACGAGCAAGAAAAAAACGATTCCGCATTCAACTAAAGCACGGACGGTGCATGCAGCAGTCCAAGATCTTCTCTACACGTTCGCTGCACGCTCCAGCGGCCAGAACTCTGTGGCTTCATTCATCTGTCTGATCTGACAGAAGATGTAGATCTAAGCGTAGATTATGTACATGACTGTACAACATGACATCAGATTCTACTGCCTGCTCCACACTACAAAAGTACAGTGCTGCTCGTGTACATCCATATGTAGGTCTACATAATCATTGCGGGTCGATCTTTCTGCTGACAAGTGACATGATGCTCCCACACCAACAACGAAATGAAGCCGACTATCTGTGTCGCCAGAGCAGAGCTCTTGAGGCGGACTAGCTGTTCAAGTGTCATCACATGCAACAAAGCTGAGCGATGTCGCCTGTACTAAAGATTATGTAGACCCTACAATACTCAACGTACACGTCACGTGGTACACAGCCGGGATAAATCGTAGTAGAAGCAAGGCAGGGCAGAGGAAATGAGATCGGTTTTTTACAGGCGGTAGCTACAGCCAAGGCAAAGGGCGTAAAAAGGCTGGCGGCATCCACAGCAGCACTCTACAGAACACATTATAGCAATAAAAACTGCTTTATGGCAGTTTTCTAAAAAAAGTTATTGTGTTCTAGTCCATGGACCCCGTCTAAAAAGTAAGAAATTAACGAAATGTGATAGCTGAAAATTAAAATTTCACACAAAACCTCACAATCTAGTTACTGTATAACAGTATCTAGTTACTGTATAACAGTATCTAGTTACTGTATAACAGTATCTAGTTACTGTATAACAGTATCTAGTTACTGTATAACAGTATCTAGTTACTGTATAACAGTATCTAGTTACTGTATAACAGTATCTAGTTACTGTATAACAGTATCTAGTTACTGTATAACAGTATCTAGTTACTGTATAACAGTATCTAGTTACTGTATAACAGTATCTAGTTACTGTATAACAGTATCTAGTTACTGTATAACAGTATCTAGTTACTGTATAACAGTATCTAGTTACTGTATAACAGTATCTAGTTACTGTATAACAGTATCTAGTTACTGTATAACAGTATCTAGTTACTGTATAACAGTATCTAGTTACTGTATAACAGTATCTAGTTACTGTATAACAGTATCTAGTTACTGTATAACAGTATTTAGTTACTGTATAACAATATCTAGTTACTGTATAACAATATCTAGTTACTGTATAACAGTATCTAGTTACTGTATAATAGTATCTAGTTACTGTAAAACAGCAAAGTCTAACGAGTCACCAAGTCTAACGCTTTAACGGCCAATTCTTTTTCGTTATTTGAAAAATACGTTATCGCTAGATGTCTGTGTAAAGATGCGCATACAGATGGGTGGCCATTGTTAAACTTTCTGCACGTTATCATGCCAAAATTACAAAAAACGTTTTGTTTGTTTTTTAACTTTTTATTCGTTAGACTTTCCAGTTTTACAGTGCCTAGTTACTATGGTATCTAGTTACTATAGTATCTTGTCACCATAGTATCTAGTATCTATAGTATCTAGTTACAATAGATACTATGGTATCTAGTCACCATAGTATAAAGTTTCTATAGTAACTAGTTACTATAGTATCCAGTTACTATAGTAACTACCTAGTGGTGTACAGTTACTCTAAACTCGTATCAATGTGTACTTTTCATTTCTATACTAATTATCGGCTCAACATCCGGGTTTCAAAAATATATAATAATTATGCGATAATCACAATATTAATGAAAAGACGTTTCTTTCAGTTTTATAGAAGTGTAAGAAATTGAAGTGACACTCATCATGACCTACTTGAAAGCAAAGCATAGCAAGGGGACTGGTATTTCCAGCCCACTAACTTGTAAACCCATCATTAATTTTCTGGATTCCCCAGATTCTAAATCGAGTAGTGGTGTACGGTGGTTAATATTTTTTTATTTTTTCCATTCATAACACTGGGTTTGATCCTGAACACACACTGACAGGTCAGCTACATACATAACACGGGGTTTGATCCTGAACACACACTGACAGGTCAGCTACATACATAACACGGGGTTTGATCCTGAACACACACTTACAGGTCAGGTACATTCTACGGAGTAGTTGTATTATACTATGGTGCTAGCTTATCGTTTTTTTCTTCTTCCTTTTTTCCAATTGTTGGCACACATAACGTGGTACTGAAACACGAACTATCTCCCTGCATGCATCCCTTCCATACACTTTGCACGCATACATATCCTACCACGTTGGTTCACGTTATGAACCTTGCGTTGAAAGCCCTATTTGAATATTTGACCAGCTTTCTTTACTGGTATGGTAATGTAGCAGGCCAGGTATGATACGCCAGGTAACGAGGGCCCTACGATGTACACACACACACACACACACACACACACAGATACACACACACACACACACACCTGTCCTGTCCTGTAGAGTCACTGCCACAAAAGGGTCACGTGATCCCATCACTGGGAAACTTGAGAAGAGAGAGAGAGAGGACACGACGCTCGATGACGCTCCAGGTGCACGGGTAGTCGCATCCGCTTGCCGCATATGCACACGTGCTGGAAGGCTGAGCGCTCCTCTGCTGTTGGTCTATGCGCCACCCTTGAACAGCGATGCCTTCCCCGTCCCCGGACACCGCGAAAGCAGCGACCACACCTGTCACAATGCGCGGCACAACATCCCTCCGCCGGTGCCGACGCTCCGGTAGTTCCAGGTGGCACTGCGGCATCCACCGTTGAGGCACACACATGCCGGACCAAGCCACCGCGGCTTCTCAGCCACCGCCCACAAAGCCCGCACTGACTGGCGCCCCGCTGCTCAGACACAGGCCGCGCACGCTCCTCCAGACACTTATGCCGAGCCATGTCTCCTTTCCGTGCAAAATCCCGTCCGCATACCGTACATACCACTCGGGGCGGAGGCTCAGGCACATTGTCAGGCTCTTGGTAGGTGCTGCGCCACTCCGCGCGAGACTCACATGCAACATCATACCATGATGCCTCCACGCCACGGGCACGTAGATCTCGGACAGCACAGTCCTTCCATCTGCGGCGTGGGCCATGTGCTGGGCGACGCTGCAAGAAGGAGCCAAACAGTACCTGTTTTGGGATGCGGTTGTCCGGCATCCGCGCCACATGCCCCAACCACTCCAACCGCCGATGTGCAATTTTGTCTTTAATCGTCTCGGAGTCTCCCCAGCGCACCAGCAGCTCTTCGTTGGTGATGTGTTCGTCCCACATCCGGCTTCGAGAGACCCCGAGGATGGATCGGATGCACCTCATGCTGAAGGTTGAGAGCTTCTGCAGGTCATGCTGAAGGGGCGTCCAGCACTCAGAGCCATACAACAGCAGGGACAGAACGCAAGCATTGAATACGCACCGCTTGGAGCAGATCCACTACAGAACCGAGGTATTTGAAATGCGGTACGCATTCCACCTCCGCTTGACCAAGTTGGAGGGGAGCGCGGTCAGTAAGCGTGATGCCGGGGCCAACAACTACAAACTGAGTCTTCGTTGCACTGATGGTCAAGCCGAATCCCGACGCCACCTCGTGAAGACAGCACAATGCTGCCCCCGCTCCAGACCGAGTCGTAGCGAATAAACAAGAGTCGTCAGCAAACTGGGAATCTGTTAGGTAATGGTGTTGGTCGTCACGGCGGGGTTTACGGTATAAATCGCTGCTGTATGCTGAGCGGAGCTCGAAGCCAACCCCGTCAACTCTCCTGACGCGGTGTTGCCACTGGGTCATCACGGCCCACATAAAGATATTAAAAAGGACCGGCGCCATAGAGCACCCCTGGCGAAGACCATTGCCAATGCTGAACGGGTCTGATAATATGTTGTTGAACTGCACCGATGCTGACATGGGGTCGTGGAACGACTGGATGATGTTGATAAGCTTTTCTGGTACTCCCGCACGGCCGAGGACCTGCCACAGACACCCCCTGGGCACTGAATCATAGGCCTTCTTCAGGTCGATAAACACAAAAAATCCCTTGGCCTGATGTTCGATTGACTTTTCCATGAGCTGTCGGACGGTGAAGATCATGTCAGAGCAGCCACGCCCTCGCCGGAACCCGCACTGGGACTCAGGGAGAAATTCCTCTGCGAATACCTGCAGCCTTCTCTGAAGGACACTCGCCAAGACCTTGCCGACCACATCCAGCAACGCAATGCCCCGCCAATTGTCGCACTGCGACAAATCTCCCTTCTTAGGAATGGGGATGAGGGTAGCATCCGCCCACTCCCGCGGAACGCAGCCATCCCGCCACACATCTCCAAACAGCTCCATGAGCTTGTTGTTGAGCTCCTCGCCACCGAACTTTAGCAACTCTGGCTGTATCCTCAATGAACCAGCAGCGGTGCCATTGCGAAGTCGAGAAATGGCCTTGGAGATCTCATGCATGGTTGGTGCTTCCTCAAGGCTCGACACTACAGGTCGCTGCTCAACGCAAGCCATGATATCGGGGTTGTACGAGCTCTCTGGGTTCAGGACAGATGTGAATTGCCTCTGGAACCGCTTGCATTGATCCTCAGTCGACTGGCACAGGTTTCCATTCTCGTCCTTAATGGCGGAAGTCTTGCACGGAGTTAATCCTTCACATGCAGCGTGGATAGCATGAACGCATTTCCAGACGACTGCCCCGTTGAAGCGCGCCTCTGTTGCCTCCTGTGCCTTATTCAAAATCCAAGCCTCTTTGGCATTTACAACGGCTGCGCGCGCCTGCGATCGAGCAGCCCCGAAGCTGGCCCAATACGTGTCGCCCCTCTGCTGATCGTGGGCAAGCCACTCCGCGTAGCACTCATTGCGGGCGCGCAGAAGGGGCTGTATGGTTGCAGAGTTGTCATCATACCAGTCGGCCTGACGGCGTTCGCTCGGGCCCAATACATCAGCGGCTGTGGCAACCACGGTATTGCGCACATGGGTCCACTTCTCCCCAACGCTACCATCGCTGCTCCAGCAATCTCGCAATCCAGCAGATAAA